AATAAAGGGGCTTAATCATAGCAGGAATTCGTGCACGCGACAGGTGACTGGAAACCTGCCAGGACAAGCTGTGATGGTGCACAGTATTTGTAATCTCAGTAATTTGTGCACGCAACAGGTGACTGCTCGCTGGAAACCTGCCAGGACAGCTGTGATGGTGCACAGTATTTGTAATCTCAGTAATTGCAGCTTTGGGGAAAAACTATTGGAGATAAGAAAACCCAGGGTTGGGGGCAGAAGTGAACATAAACCACATAGAACCCATTTATTTCCACAGTAGAGGTCTCTACACATGGGGTAATTTCAACCCATATTATAACTGTAAGTCCATCCCCTTCTTTCCAATTCAAAATCATAGGAATAAAGTCCAATTATAGTGTCTCCTTGCAAATAAAATAAGCCTGCTATCACATACTTACTAATTTGAGATGAAAATTCCTTCTTAAATTGTTTAGGCTACAATATCAGGAAAACATGGGACCCAGCTGAAAAGGCATTTTTCCATGTTCTGCTGTTTAGCTCCGGATAAATATTTGATTACCTGCTGTCGGGGTTTATAAAAAGAGGTAATTCTTTAACTCTGAAACGATTTGTGGAGAACAATCCAGCTGGAACCAGTGATTTGGTGAATTCCAGACATGAGAAACTGGAAAGCAAAGAGAAACTGAAAAGCAAATAACAAAGTTCTACAGTCAGGAAACAGACTTCTAGTCTCATTCTAAACCAGGAGCCACGAGGCAGAATATAAAAACCAGCTTTGTTTCAGCTCTTGATTTCTAGTCTTATTTATCAACTGCTTTCAATAGAAATAAAACTTAAGAACTTCCTATCTCTTTACCCAACTGCACCAATTGTTTACTTTTGTCCCATTTGATTTGTCATTTTCTCACTATATATTTTTATTATGCATATTTTTTTCTGAACCTTTTGAGAGTAATGTGGAGACATTGAGCCACTTTGCTCCTAAAAACTTCAGAATATATGTCCCAAGAACAAGGATATTCTGTATAATTGCAGTACAATGATCAAAATAGGGGAATTTAACACTGATACACTACTATTATCTGATTCACAGACAAAATTGCAAATTATCCCAATAATGTTTTTACAGCTAATTGTATTTTCTCATGCAGAATTAAATCCAGGATTACAAATTATCCTTTGTTGTCATGCTAATATAGTCTCTTTTATCCCCAAATATCAGCTTTTTAAAAAATTTTTCTGAACATTGCCATTTTAAAGGAGAAAATGCACTCATCTTCCTCACTTTGGGCTATTTCCTTGTGATTAGATTCTAGTTATGTATATTGTCAGGCACACACAGAAGTGATGATGTGGCTGTGGCACAGATCAGGAGGCCTAATGAGTTTGGTTGGTTTGTCCCAATATTGATGGTGTTAACTTTAATCTTTTAATTAAGATGATGTGATCCAGAGTCCTCCACTGTAAAATTACTATTTTTCTCTCTAATTAATTATCTGTGAGAAAACACTTGGAGACTATGTAAATATCCTGGTCCTCACTAACCTTTATAGAGTTTTAGACTCCATTGATGACTTTCTAACTATTCTATTCCTTCTTCTTTTATAAATTGGCATTCTATTGTAAGGAAGAGCTTTCCCATTTTCTCACTCCATCTATCTATCTATCTATCTATCTATCTATCTATCTATCTATCACCTATCTAGCTAGCTATCATCTATTTATCATATATCTATTTACATATATATGTATGTCAATATAGAAACATAGATTCCTACTTTTTTCAATGAGTTATGACTCATTATTTATTTTGATGCCCCAAATTCCCATATTGGGTAAGCTTGGAACCTCTTCAAGCTATCTGCTGTATTTATTTCATAGGTTCTCATCATTCTGTACTCCCTTACTATATCAATTAGGGTTATAACAAAGAAACAGAACCAGTATGAGATAGATGATAGATCGATAGGGAAAGATAGATGAATAGATAGATTACAGATGGAGGTTTATTGCAGATAATTTACTTATATAATTGTGGAGCTGCCAGGGCAACTCTGAAACACGTAGGGCACTTCAGAAGACTGGAGACTCAAGTAGGAGCTGAAGCTTCAGTCCACTGGTAAATTTCTTCCTTTTCTGGAAAATATCATTTCAACCTCTTAAGGCCTTCTAATTGATTAGATTAGGCCCATGCAGAGTATCCCGGATAATATCTTTTACTCAAAGTCAACTGATTATAGATGTTAATCACATCCACAAAATACCTTCTCCACAACACTAGTGTTTGATTAACTGGGTATAGCCACGTTGACCCCTGAAACTGACCATTACACATATTTTCTGATACAAGATCTTCCAGTTTCATCTCATTTCTCTATCAATCCTGGAATCAGCCCTTTCTAGCTTCTTTAAGTAGACAATGGTATTTAAAAACCAAGATATAGGTGTCAGATGTGCTTATTGCTTTGGGGTTATAATTGTTTATAGACCCGAGCAGACAGAGCTAGGAAATACGCGTGTGTGTTGAGTTGTGTGTGTGTGTGTGTGTGTCCCTCCTTTTCTGCCTTCTTTTGCTTTATTGGATACCTTTTAGAGTTTCATTATACAGTAGTTCCTCTATTTGCTTTGTAGCTTGCCTCTTTGCAGTGTGTGTGTGTGTGTGTGTGTGTGTGTGTGTGTGTGTGTACCCTAGGGATTACAACATAGTTACATATCATAATGTATTTAGTGTAAATATTGTACCCCTTTAGGTCAATGTACGAACCACATATTGAATTTGTTGGCCTATCCTTTGTGTTTTTGTTGTTGTGGATCTTACATCAAATACATTTTAAATTTTACAATATGTATACAGTACACTATTATTCTGCTTTAAACTTTATATGGCTTTAAAATCCTATATAATAAAAGGCTAATATGCAAATTGACTGAATGGTGGAATGGCCAGTTGCCATGATGCACACTGACCACCAGGGGGCAGACGCTTGATGCAGGAGCTGCCCCCTGGTGGTCAGTGAGCTCCCACAGGGGGAGTGCCACTCATCCAGAAGCCGGGCTCATGGCTGGCAAGGACAGCAGCGCTGGCGGGAGCATCTCCTGCCTCTGCAGCAGCGCTAAGGATATTCAGTGCAGGGGAGCAGACCTAAGATATCAGTCAGACATCCCCTGAGGGCTCCTGGACTGCGAGAGGGCACAGGCCAGGTTGAGGGACCCCTGCCCCTGAATGCACGAATTTCGTGCAGTGGCCCTCTAGTATATTAAGAAAAGCAAATACACAGAGAGATACACACATTTTATATATGCATACATACATACGACAAAAAGGGGGAAAAGTCTTCTATGTGTATCCAAATAGCATGTCAAACAGTCTATTTCTTTACTTATATAACACTAATTCTATCTGGCAGCATTTCCCTTCCAAGTAAAGAATTTCTATTAGTATTTATTTATAGTGCAGGCTTGCTGATAAAATTTTCTAACTTTCTTTTTTTCTGAAAATGTTTTGATTCCAATGTAACTTTTTATATTTTTGTCAGTTATAATATTCTCCACATTATTGTTTCTGATGAGAGAAATTGGCCATTATTGTCATTGCTCCTTTATATATAACAATTTTCTCTGTTTTCTAGATCTTCTATTTATTTTTTAGTGTTCAGAGGTTTAACCATGATGTGTTGCATATTTCCTTCCTTCTTTCCTTCTTTCCTTCTTTCCTTCCTTCCTTCCTTCCTTCCTTCCTTCCTTCCTTTCTTCCTTTTTCTTCATGCTTGGAGTTTTTAGAGCTTCTTGGGATCTTCATTTTGTTGTTTTCACTACAGCTGAAAATTTATTCATCATTATTTTTTCAAATTTTGTTTTGCCCCATTTTCTTCCTCCTCTTTTTCTGGTCTCCAATTACACATATGTTAATCCATTTGCTATTGTATCTCTAGCCTCAGTTCAAATTATTTTCCATTGTTTTTCTTCCTTATTTTACATTTGATTTATCTTCAAGTTCACTGACATTTTCTTCTGCCATCAATATTTTTAATTCTACACACCTTACTTTCTATTTTCTAGAATTTCCACTTGGTTATCTTTTAATTGAGTTTCCATTATGCTGCAGGTTTTTCCTTTCTGTGCATTTATAATGACCATGTTTGTTTGTTTTTTAAGTTACCATGGTATTGATATATTTATTATTCCAACTCTAAAATCCTTGCCTTCCAATTCAAATATTTGTGCTATGGAATCTGTTATTATATACTACCTTTTTTAAAGCTCTTGTTCTCATTTTCCTACTCCTTCTCTTGTCTAGTAATTTTTTATTGTGTATTGGGCATTTTAAATGATACATTCATTTGTAGAGACAGAGGCTTTATACCCTTTCATCTTATAATTGTAGATTTTGTTCTAGTAGGAAGTTAACTTTATTAGAATCAAATCCCAATCTCTATCTTCCTTAGAATGGATAGCAGCTGAAAATGTTCAGTTCTTCCAGCCTTCTGGCTATTGCTTTTCACTGGGAATCAAGGAATTGGGCCGAGGTTATATGCAGTTTTAAAGATTCCCCTTCTGTGGTTCCCTAATTTCTGAAATTTTTTATTTATTCCCTATGTTTCCTAGCATCTCCCAATTCAATATTCTGACCCCATCAGCCAGTAGGACAATTTACCTGTTTTAGTGCTTTTGCCTCATGACACACAGTCTAGGCCAGGGGTGGGCAAACTTTTTGACTCGAGGGCCACAATGGGTTCTTAAACTGGACCGGAGGGCCGGAACAAAAGCATGGATGGAGTGTTTGTGTGAACTAATATAAATTCAAAGTAAACATCATTACATAAAAGGGTACGGTCTTTTTTTTTTTTATTTCAGTAGTTTTATTCATTTCAAACATTTTAACAAGAAGAATGTAAACACTAATTATTATAATTTGAAACTTCAAAAAATGGCGGAATCATAGCACAATAACATACCTTATATTGAAGATGGCAAAGGCTCTGATACTGTGCTCTCCAGGGGCGTGTCTCACTACATCACCACGATAACGTGCCTACGCATTCCCAGGGTGATGTCGGAAGACGCGTCCGCGGGCATTACAAGGAGCCTCTGGAAGATTGAGAGGGTGTTCCTTCTACTGAATGGGCGGATATAAATCCGCCCACTCAGAAGAAGGAGCTGCGGCCGTGTTTCCCGATGTTGCCATGTTAACACTGCTGCTGGTGAAGGAGCGGAGGGGAGAGCAAGAGAACCCTCCGCTCTTTCGGCTCCGTGGGCCGGATAGAACAGCCGAACGGGCCGGATCCGGCCCACGGGCCGTAGTTTGCCCACTGCTGGTCTAGGCTGTTCCCGTAAGCAAAAAGTCATAAAAGCACACATTTTTATTAAACAAAGTTCTTTTATTTTAAGGATAGATTTCTCTCCATATTCTAGTCACTCTCCACTGCCTACATATAGTTGTTCATTTTTTAAAAAGATTTTTCTAGTTTATCATTATTGTCTGTAGGAAGGTCAGCCCAATAAAAAGTACTTTGAAGTTACCAGAAGTGGGTTTTCCATTATATAATTTTTAAAGATGATACTTTTGGAGGTTATATAATGTATTCAACTAAACATATTGATAAAAATTATATTATCTTTTAATGAATATGTTTCACCTATTCAATTATATTTCAAGTTCAGTGAGGGTTGACTTTCTGTCTTCTAGCTCTTTGTCATCTTATTCTGTGACACTGGTACTCAGCTAAGATTTTATGATAATGAAGAACGCCAAGTGCAAACTTTTAGTCTTACTATCTTTGATATCCCCCAAAAAAGATATCAGTTCTGAAATGTATGTCAAATTTTACTAATGGGATTAGAGATTCCATAGCTCTAGTTTACAAGTAAGCAAACTATAGCCTGCAGGCCAAATTTGGCTTACTGCCTATTTTTGTGTAGCAATATTTATGGAACAAAGCCAAGCTCTTTCATTTATGTATTGTCAATGGTTGCTTTCACACTGCAATGGCAGAATTGAGTAGTTGTAACAGAAACTGTATGGTTGGCCAAGGCAAATATATGTAGGGTCTGGCCCTTTACAGAAAAAGTTTGCTGATCTTTGCTTTAGTAGATCAATGTGAAATAGTCATTAGTACATAAAAGAAGCAGTTCAAACTGCATGCTTCATTGCACATCAATATTTTGAGAAGCATCATCTTATTTTGTTAATATGCTAGACAACAGACTCATTGTGGTAGGCAGAATAATGGCCCTTTAAAGATGTCCTTGGCCTGTTTCCTGGAACAGGTAAATATGTTACCTTCCATGGCCAAAAGGCCTTTACAGATGCGGTGAAGGACATGACCTCAAAATGGACAGTTTATTTTGGATTGTCCAGATGTGCTCAAGATAATAAAAATAGCCTTTAAAAGAAAGAATCTTTCCTGGCTGTGAGGTGATGATGGAGGAAGGACCAGAGAGACGTGGTGTTGCTAGCTTTGAAAAAGAAGGGGCTATGAGCCAAAGAATGCAGCTGTCTTTTTAAAAAATGAAAAAGGAAATGAAATAAATTCTCTCTTAGAGCCCCAGAGAGGAACATCACCCTGCTGACACCTTGATTTTAGTCCAGTGAGATCTGTCAGACTTCTAACCTACAGAACTGTAAGATAATAAATTTTTGTTATTTTAAGCCACTAAGTTTGTGGTGATTTATTATGGCAGTAATAGAAAACTAATGCATTCATATACTCTAATGCACAAAGGAATGAATTCATTTCATAATTATTGAAAAATTATACTACAAATTAGAAATATATTAGCTAACCACAGAACAGAGCAGAGTATCTCTCACTGAGTCAGCTTTATTTTCCCAGCAGCATATTTGAAGCATGTGTGAAAGGAAGGCAGTTCTTAGGGCTTTCATTGGGTTATGGTTGCCAGGGAAACCATTTTACTTGGCAATCAATATGTTCAGTATGTCTCTGTTGCTTTGTGCTTAACTGCTAGGCATACTATTGCAGAGTGGTCCATGGAAAACACTGGGAAGGATAAAAGGAAAACCCTAAACTATTAATATCAATAAAAAGTCTGGATAACTTATTCCTATTCTTATGAAGCTGAAAAAAAATAATAAAGATGAATGGATTTGTTTTATTTTTGTGCAAACTGAATAGACAGAGATTTATTTTTCAATAGTAAATTAGCAGGGCTAAATAAGGTCCCTGAAATTCTCTTGCAATGACATAAAAGCAAAGATATAGCTCAACCATCAGCAAGCCAAGGTTTTCTCTTTTAAATTCCCCTCTCTTTCTCAGTATCTATCTATCTATCTATCTATCTATCTATCTATCTATCTATCATCTATCTATCTGTCATCTGTCTATCTTATCTATATACCCCATCTCCATCTTCCTCTCTCTCTCCAACATTTTTCCTCTTAACTATCTTTCAATTAAGAAATATAAAAATATAAAATAGACTTGTATTTTAAGGACTCTGGTCAATTGAGAGTGCTAAATTCTATTCATGGTCACAAAGACTCATGGGCTGCTTTAATAATGCCCTAGAAAGACAGAGGAGCGTGCTATTATGTGCCACTAGAGAAAATAAAAGAAATGCTTATGGAGGGACTTGGAGCACCAAGGGACTATTTCTTGTGCTATGTCTTTAGGTCATTAAAGTACTATTTCTTAAACAATGTAAAGTTGACTCTTGTCTGCTTGATCACAGCCACACAATTTCAGGTTGGTAGATAGCAATTGGAGAAGAGAGTCAAAGCATGATAGAGTGACACAATGGCTCTTTCCAAATTAGCAAAGGCTAGTTCTTGAGGCACATTCTAAGTCTAGAAACCTGAGGGATGTAACATATTCACATCAGTGCAGGTGCTTTTACTTTTTGCATATAAACCATTTTGAAATACATTGTAGTGAAAATGTATAAATTTGAAATCATCTTGGTCAGAGAGATAAGCAGGCAAAAAGAAAAGGCACAGAATGACAAAATAATAGAAGAGCAAACATAAAAGAGATTTTTAAAATCCCTCTAAGGAAAGTGGAGAATTACAAGTGGATAAATGCATATTTGTATCTATGTTCATTAAATTCAATAAAAATTTCACTTCTGCATGACTTTCTCTTGAACGCAATAAAACTCTGGAGCTGTGCTGTTGTGAAAGATGAAGTCTTCCTTTCAAAAGATAATAGCTAATAAATGTAAAAGACTAAATTCAGATTTGTACCTAGTCCTAAAAGGGTTCAAAAAGGATGTCAGGAACAGTTTAAGTTGAAACAATTAACAATAAGATTTTTGCACTGTTTAAAATAAGAATAAAATTGCTTTAAAATATTTAAGAGCTATATAGTTACTTTAAAGATAAATAGTTTTATATAGTTTCCACATATTTGTTCCCTGGGATTCAGTTTTTTAATCTACACCATTCATTGCTTAATTTGTGTATTGAAACTATTCACATGTGAAATGATTCTTTATTCTGATGATAAGACTGCGTGGGATGACCCAGCCTCACTGGCCAGGGTCAAACTGTGCTTTTGGGGGGGCATTCTAGCATGTCTTGTAACTTTTCATTGAAAGCCAGATGTTCTCTATCAGGTAAAAAGAACTGAGGTAAAATGGGGCTTTAGTATGAGGTTTTATGTTAATCTAGGTATGAGTTGGGCTGGGCTTAATGTTTGTTACTGTATACAGAGAACCCTAAAGATTCCACCAAAATCTACTAGAACTGATAAAGGAACTCAGTAAAGTAGCAGGATACAAAACAAATATCCAGAAATCAGTTGTAATTTTATATACCAATAATGAACTATCAGAATGGGAAACGAACCCCATTTACAATTGCACAAAAAAAATATACCTAGCAATAAATTTAACCAAGGATGTAAAAGACCTGTAATCAGAAAGTTATAAGGCACTGAAAAAGAAATTGAAGCAATAAGTAGAATCATATTTTGTGTTCATGAATAGGAAGAATTAACATCATTAAAATGTCCATACTACCCAAAACAATCTATACATTCAATGCAATTCCTATTAAGATAGCAATGGCATATTTCACAGAAGTAGAACAACTATTCCAGAACTTTATATGACCACAAAAGACACTTAATATCCACAGTAATCTCAAGAAAGAAGAACAAAGTTGGAGGAATCATGCTACCTGATATCAAACTATATTACAAGGCCTAGTAATCAATAAAGCATGGTACTGTCATGAAAACATGTATACAGATCAATGAAATAGAATAAAGAGCCCAGAAATAAAACCACATTCTTATGGTCAATTAATATTTGACAAGGGAGGCAAAAACATTCAATGGAGTAAAGATAGTCTATTCAATAAATTGTGTTTGGAAAATTGGACAGATATGTGCAAAAAAAGAAACTAGACCCCCTTCTTACACCATCCATAAGAATAAACTAAAAATGGATTAAAGACTCAAATGTTAGCGTCAAAACCATAAAACTCCTAGAAGAAAACATAGGCAGTAAAATCTTGAACATTTCTCATAGCAATATTTTTTTTCTGATATATCTCCTCAGGCATGGGGAACAAACAAACAGAAATAAACAAATGGGACTAAATCAAAATAAAAAGCTTTTGCCGAAACCGGTTTGGCTCGGTGGATAGAGCATCGGCCTGCGGACTGAAAGGTCCCAGGTTTGATTCCGGTCAAGGGCATGTACCTGGGTTGCGGGCACATCCCCAGTAGGAGATGTGCAGGAGGCAGCTGATCGATGTTTCTCTCTCATCAATGTTTCTAACTCTCTATCTCTCTCCCTTCCTCTCTGTAAAAAATCAATAAAATATATTTTAAAAAAATAAAAAAATAAAAAGCTTTTGCACAGCAAGGGAAACCATCAACAAAATGAAAAGACAAACTACTGATTGGAAGAACATATTTGCCAGTGATACATCTGATAATATCCAAAATTTATAAAAAACTTATAAAAGTCAATAGCAAGAAAACAAACAATCCAATTAAAAAAAATGGGTAAAGAACCTAGATAGACACTTCTCCAAAGAGGACATACAGATTGGCCAACAGACATTTGAAAAGATGCTCAACATCACTAATCATCAGATATGCTAATTAAAGTCACAATGAGGTATCACCTCACATCTGTCAGAATGGATATCACCAATAAATCAACAGTCAACAAGTGTTGGTGAGGGTGTGGAGAGAAGGGAACACTAAAGGATTGTTATTGGCAATGCAGACTGGTACAGCCACTGTGGAAAGCAGTATGGAGTTACTTCAAAAATTAAAAATGGAACTGCCTTGTGACTCAGTGATTCCACTTCCAGTAATATATTAGAAGAAACCCAAAACACTAATTCGAAAGAATATATGCACCCCTATGTTCACTGCCGCATTATTTACAAAAGCTAATGTTTGGAAGCAGCCCAAGTGCCCATCAGTAGATGAGTGGATAAAATAGCTGTGGTACTGTCACACAATGGAATACTTCTCAGATGTAAAAAAGAAGAAAAGCTTACCTTTTGTGACGGCATGGATGGACCTGGAGAGTATAATGCTAAGTGAAATAAGCCAGTCAGAGAAAGACAAGTACCATATGATCTCACTTACATGTGGACTCTAATGAACAAAATAAACTAACAAACAAAATAGGAACAAACTCAGATACAGAGAACAGACTGACAGCTGTCAGAGGGGAGGAGGTTGGGGGGCTGTGAAAAAGGTGAAGGGATTAAGCAAAAATAAAACCCCAAAACTCATAGGCAGAGATAACAATATGGTGATTACCAGAGGAAAAGGGGGGTAGGTGGTGGTAGAAGAGGGTAGAGAGGGGGATAAATGGCGATGAAACGAACCTTGACTTGTGGTGGTGAACACACAGAACCATATATGATTGATGTATTCTAGAATTGTATGCCTGAAACCCATGTCATTTTATTAACCAATGTCACCTCAATACATTCTATTAAAAATAAATAAATATGTAGAAAATTGACATTTTACTAGATTTCTTTCTAGTGTTCATAGATTACCAAAGGAAACCAAGAGGAAGTCACCATTCATACCATCAGACTCTAATTCCCCTTCGAGAAAAACCCTCTTTTGCTGCTGCTGGCCCAATCACCCACCCCACCTGGAGTTCAGAGAATGTGGTTTTCAGTGGTCCTCTGTCAGTCCTCCTTCTGTCACTGTTACACGTTTTCCTCTTAAATTTGGATGGAACATTTTGAATAGCGAACTAGTTAAAGACAGCGTGTGCTGCTTTGAGAGCCAAGACCTCTCTCTTCACTCTCGTAATGACATTTTCTTTGTGAGATGAAGTTTCCACTTTTCCACAAAAGCCCCAATTTTTCACTAAAAAAAAAGTCTAAAGAAATGTCACAGCTAAAGAAAAAAGCCTCCGTCTGACACAGCTTTCCTTTATGTGATGGGGGGTCACTAAATGCTTCAACCCATTTCGCATCTCAGATAAACAATATCTAGTCTCTCCATGTTCTCTCTCTCTGTTCAGCCTGGCCCAGCCCTCTGATACCACATTAGAGAATCTGGCTTATCATGTACAAAATGTGTCAAAAGAAAACTGCTTATGGTGGAATTTGCCTGAGCCTTGGCAGAAATGTGGAATGGGACAGGCTGAATAAAGTAAATTTTTACACATATTGCTAAGAAAGTTGATGTTGAAGGGCTTATTATTAAATTTTTTTTTTTAAAAAAATCACACACCTAAGAGGAAAGGGGATTTCCTTTAAATAGCATTAAATATCATTCAATTCCCATGCACTTTCTGGAGCTGCCAAAAGCGTGAAACAATGAATGTTCCTGGCGTGCACCTGAACTCCGTGTTTTTACATGCTACCTCTGCAGGGAGACTTGAGAATATAATCAGGCTAGAGGAGCTATGCTTTGTGAAAAGGTTAAAGAGATTTAAAAATTTCAAAGACGATGAAAAGGGAGAGGGGTAAATAAAAAATGACTAACAATCTGTTGGGATTATTCATAAAGAAAACTTCAAAGATGATGAGTCTTTCTAGGGAAAAAGAATGTAAAAGGTAAGTATGATGATATTAAGTAAAAGGAACCAGCCCCTGATTTACATGGGACCCTCCTTTCTCCCCACTCTCTGTTCTGAGGCTCCCAGTCATTACCAGGGGCATCTTCCCAGTGTTCCCACCAGGGGGATGGAGACGGTCTACCCCCTGCTCACAGCTGGAGAAATGAAATTCTCCCTAAGGTTTGCCTACTAACTCGTGGTTAGGCTCTCACAATTAAATCTGTTATAGCCCCATATTTCCTAATCACTGGCTTGAGATAAAGTTTCCACAAGTCATTGAAAAAAATTATAAATGAGTTTTCATAAAGCCAAATCCATTCAGTTTGAAAGGTTGACCTCTAAATTGCAATTACGTCCTTCTTACTTTTCCTAGGAAACTTGACTATTTTTCTTATTTAGAAAAAAAAAATGGGGGCCCTAAATTCTTTTTATTGGTCCTTAATCCCCAAATTGGAATGTCATATACTGACTTGCCTCACAATCAGAAGTAACAAAACACATAGAAAAAAGGCCTCCGTATATCAATAAAGGTAATACTCTTCCTGTTGAGGTTTCGAAGGGCCTGGCTATTATTCATTGGGCTATTCTGCTGCGTCTGGCTACTGCATCCTGAACACTTACCTTCTGCTGGGCACTGGGATAATTGCTGGACACGGATTATCGCATTTAACCTGAACCTAGGAGGGAAATACAACAATTATTCTCAATTCACAGATAAGGGAACTAAGCCACGTGAAGTGTGGCTTCCTGTCATACAGCTAAGAGAAACAGAATTCAAAAGCAGGCCAAATTCAGAACATTCCATCTTACCTACAACGTCGTTCTAATATTTGACATGTTTATGTGGGAAATATTCAGAAGGTAATATAACCATTCAATAGATTCAACTAAAAAATCAATTGGATACATAACCTATTGTACATATTTTCTTGTTTTTATGGTTCTGTCAAATTCTGGTCATGGGCTGAGTCAGGGTAATAATAATAAACATATGTCAATATTTACTTGCTCTTCTATCTGCCAGGCACTGTAATGATCATCCCAAATAGATTGATTATCTGACTTAATTCTTCCAACAAGGCCATGGGTGAGAAACCTTTATTACCCCTGTGCAGATAAAGAAACTGAGGCTGCCAGAGAATAACTTGACCAAGATCCCAGTTAATAAAATGAGTGCATAACACATTTCTTTTGTTTTAAGTCACCCAGTTTGTGGTGACTTGCTACAGCAGCCACAGGAGCCTGGCACAGCTTATAAACTTACTGTTATTTCTACCGTCTTTAAAACAAAATAGAAAAACTCTCTTAAAAAGTGGCCCCCTCCAGCTGCCACTTTTTCTTTACACTAACATTCCTCAAGACAGTTATCTATACTTATAGGCTTTAATTTGTCTCTTCTCATTTTCTCTTGAATCTATACCAACCAGGATTTTCCATCTCTCATGGTACTGAAATTGCTCCTCAATATTGCCAATGTCTTCTTCACTCCTGAAGGCAAAGGTCAATCATCCTGACTCCTCCACCCCAGTGACACAGTGACAGTGATTCAGTGGATCCCTCTCTTCCCTGAAATATATTCTTCATTTGATCCCCAGGACAGGGCACAGGCCTGGATTTTCCATCTACTCTTTCGTGATCTTCTGTGCTTGTTCCACTTCCTCTTCTTAAGGACAGAGTCCTCCAGGCCTTTCTCTATTCTCACTTATTCCCTCTGAGACCTCATCTGGTCTAATGGCTTAAACACCATCTGTTTCCAATGACACCCAGTTTTATATCTGTAGTCCAGATCTCTCCCTTGCATTCCAGACTTACGGAATTCAACTGCTTATTCAACTTGTCTACTTAAATGGCTCATTGGCATCCCTAAGTACCATGTCCAGAGCTGATCTGAATTTCACCCCAAGCTTGCTTCTTATTTAACTCCATTACCAACTGACAAGGGAGAAACCTCAGTCCTCCTCCTGTCTTTATTCTTTGCTCTCACACTACTCACAACTCACAACACTTCTGACACCAGATGTTTTATCCCCCACCAACTCCGTCTCTGTGACACCGGCTGGGTGTCCTTTAGTTTAACTCGATTCTCACACTATCTCCAGACAGCATCAGATCCAATCCCACAGGTTAAGGGCTCAGTCCCTAAAGGCTGTGCCCATCCCCCACTTCCTATGCCAATCACGAGTTCATCTGTGCTTCTGACCTGATTGGCTACAAATTGGAAATTACCATAACTCCCCCCCACCCCCATTCCAGTTTGAATTTGTTGGAGTAAGTCAGAGGAGCCAGGAAAGCACATATGCTTACTGGTCTATTAAATATTATGAAAAAGAATACAGATGAACTTCCAGATGGAAGAGATGAATAGGACAAGGTATGTGGAAAGGGGTGTGGAGCCTTCAGCCCAGTCTGGGCTTGACACTCTCCCAGCACCTCCATCTGCTTCCCACCAACTTTATTGCTAACACGTGGGGCCATTGCCACCTTCATTTCCCACCCAGGAGCTCTCCAAATCTTGTACTTCGGGGATTTTTTATGGAGGCTTCCTCACGTAGAAAGGATTGATCATTAACTACATTTTTTTGCTCTTCTCCCTTTTCAAGTGAATGAGAAACAGGGCTGAAAATTCCAAATGTCTAATCATGTCCTGGTCTTGCTGACCAGCTCCCATCCGGGAGCCCACCCAGAGCCACCTCATTAAAACAGACACTGCTGTGACCCAGGACATGTCAAGGGACTTAGGAGCTCTGTGTAAGGAAACAGTGGGCAGGGATCAGTAGATATAATTTCTATCCTCTCCCACCAACCTTGCAGTTGCTCCTGGGAAAACTTTGGGGTCCTCTTTGCCTCCTTCCCTTCACGTTTCACATCCAACCCACCAACCAAACCTGTCAGCTCTTCTGTCAAAATACAGTTGGAATCCAATCATTTCCCACCGAGTTTATTGGTAACAGGTGAGGCCATGTCACCTCCATTTCCTCCTGGGTCACTGCAGTCACTCCCTCACGGTCCCCCTGCTCTGCCCTTGCCCTTTTCACACTATTCCCAACTGGCAGCCAGAGTGGTGCTGCCAGCTCCCTGCTCACATGCTCTAGCACTTCCTGTCTCACTTCAGCTTTCCATGACCTCGTCTGACCTTGTCTCCTGTCTGTCACTCTGCCTGCCACTGCACATGGACTCAGCCCTGCAGCCCCTCCCGGGCATGATCCTCCCTCAGTTTCTGGTCCTTCCTCATGGCAGCCTCTCCCCAGACAGCTTCGTGGCTTCCTCTCCGTTCCTGCAGGTCTTCACTCGAACATCACATTCCCGATGAGGCCCTCCTGACTCTCCCGTCTGAAATCCTTACTCCCCTCCCAACACCTCCAAGGCACTCTCCTTGCTTCAGTTTTCTCCTTGTCATTCATCATGATGTGATATGCTTACGGTTTCCTTATTTCTTGTTCTAACACCCCACTAGAATGTAAGCTCCCTGAGGGCAGGGGATTGGGTTTTACTAGTGCAATGCTTGGGGCATAGTAGCACTTATCACATATCTGTTATATAAAAAAGTATATGAACGCCTAGCTGTATGGAATATTAGAAATGGCACAAAACATGGGCAAAGTAAATGCACTGTGAATAGACATTAAGAACAGTTATTATAGCCGAAGCCGGTTTGGCTCAGTGGATAGAGCGTCGGCCTGCGGACTGAAAGGTCCCAGGTTCGATTCCGGTCAAGGGCATGTACCTGGGTTGCGGGCATATCCCCGGTGGGAGATGTGCAGGAGGCAGCTGATCGATGTTTCTCTCTCATCGATGTTTCTAACTCTCTCTATCTCTCTCCCTTCCTCTCTGTAAAAAATCAATAAAATATATTTTAAAAAAAAGAACAGTTATTATAAAGTCCAATGGAGTTAAGATGGAATTATCATGCAAACAATGGGATGATTATATATACGCATAATACATTGGGCTTGCACTTCATATAAACACCTATCTATCTCCTACATGATGTAAGGGCTCCACATTATTATCTCAAGTGTCCCTGGGAGGTGGGCCAGCGGCGTTATTTCTATTTCTGTTGTTTGTCAGAGCTTCTTAAATGCGATCTGTATCATTCAGATTGAGGCCTTGATTGTTCCCTTTGTTTTTGTGGTGGAGTCAAGGCCAGTTGGCTCTTAGGTAACTAAAAAACAGCCTCATCCGGACGTAGGGGATCTTTATAACCTCTTGAACAGAAACTTGGATTCCTGTCTCATTG